AAAGGGAGTTTTTCCTCCCCACTGTCGCCAAGTGCTTGCTCAAGGGGGATTTGTTGGGTTTTCCCTATGTAATAATATTGATAACAGTAAGGTCTAGACCTTACTTTGTAAAGTGTCCTGAGATGACTTTTGTTGTGATTTGGCGCTATACAAATAAAATTTGATTTGATTTGATTTGATTAACCTTCAGGCAGCTGGTGCAGAAGACAGAGCAGATGTCAAACAATATGAGAGAAATGAAGTCAAAGTCTATGAAACAAAGGATGGCGACCAACAGAGGAGCAGATTTGTCTATATCAGGGTGCGAAAAAACAGAGCAGGCAGATCCAAAATTACATGAGAAAAGAGTTTGAAACCCAGTCTTAGCTGTGAGATGACACCAGCTATAGGATGGGCAGCTGTTTATGGCTGGGTGTAGCGGTTGGCATGGCAACCTGGACGCCACAGCAGACTCCTGCTGAGTGTTCTCAGCACTAATTAGATGCCTATCTCTCTCCCGCTGTCACTACCCTGGCCTCGAGCCTGCACTCGTCACTCACCGGCATTGAGAAACACTCTCTCCCAGGCACTGAGAGAGAAAACAGAGCACTGCTAAATTGGTGTCCACACCAGGGAAATTTAGGGCTGAGAAGAATAAGCCAATATTAACAGACATGACCACACGTAAAATCACAAGAAAAACAGGAATGCAAGCGCTCCAACATGCATGCTCTTCCTCAATCTATGCTGCCTCTAAATGGTATCCATTAAAATTTATAACCAGTCTGCATCACAGACTGGGTTGTGTGAGGCCAGTGATGTATACATTTTTTACTGGTATTTGTACTGATCAGTGTGTTCCTCTATGAGTGTCAGTTCTCAACCAAAACTACTAAGAGTTGTTGACATAATTTCTGTGATTAGGTGGCACAGTGCTGGTAAAATCTTACATTTGTCCCAGTTGCAGCAGAACTATTGCCTAAGCTACACTGTAATCTGACTGAACCAGGACCAGGAATCATAGCTCTTCCTAAAAAACAAAAGGGTTTGGATGTGACACACTTGACAGACCTTAACATTTGTTCAAATAAGTTGAGTGGTCCGTGTTAACTTTCCATTACTGAATCGTGAGAGGTAAGTCCAGGAAAAGTCCAGGAAAGTGGGCAAGGTAACAACAACGGTGGCTCTGTTGGTCCATTTTGGTCTGTTGTACGGTTTGGTGGCCAATCCAATTAAATCCATATGAAATTACTGGTGTGGCTCATAAATACTACAGAGCAGCCGTCTTTACCAAGTTGCTGAGCTGTAAATAAGATACGTTATGATGCAAGAAAGACCCCAGCCAGGTTTCTATAAAACACCAGGCAGCACAATGTGAACAATCCTCGTTAAGCATGAAGCTGCAGCAGCTTGTTCATAACATTGGCCAGGGAGGGTAGATTCACCAAATGCACAGCCAGGCACACATTCAGAAATACCCACAGTTGGAGCTTAACCAGCACAACTGTATACTTCCTCCGTCTGTGACTCCTGCAGTACAACTTCAGCCAACATGTCCAGAAAACTCCCGTCAAACTTCTCAGGGTGAAATGATGAATGCATAACACCACTTCACTGGTAAATCTGACTTTAGCTGAGCTGCAGAAAACAGGAGATAAACACAAAGTAACGAAAGCTACTGTTGAGAAAAAGCTACGATCTTGCATTATCCTTTACAATTCTACTAAATATTTCAGCTAGTAGTGAAAAATAGATGAGAAGTTTCATTTCCTGACTTCTTACCATTGTTTCAGACTCACTTTTAAACTTGGTCAAGTTGTTCAATTATGCAACACAACAAGTTTCAGTGCTGGAAGTTAAACATCTGATTTTAAATGGTTTTTCAGTGTCATGGAGTTCAACAACATACTGGTCAACTATGTTGACTGTTCATCATCAGAAACATCTCTAATTATTTTGATAATCTATTAACTGCTTCAGTCACTCAGAAGCCAAATAACTACAGATTTCAGCCTCTCAAAAAGAAGATTAGCTGTTTTTGTTTGTCATATTTCATTGTAAACTGAATATTTTGTGGATATTTCATGGTTTTTCAACAGGCCAAATAAAATATGACATCTGAAGACATCACTCAGCAAAACCTTTTGACAGTTTTATGTTTCATAGACTAAATGACTGGAAAAAGAAAATCTGCAGATTAATTGGATGATGACAGCATGGTTCTTATACAGTTCACACAACATTTTGTTTCATTTCACATCCAATGTGCTGAAGCACAAAGCAAACACAACATGAGCAAATCCAAACACTACCCACCCAAAACATCCAGGGAGCTCTGGTGGTTGGAGATGATGACATAAGGTCCCTCTGTCTGCAGATGCTCCCACCCGCTCACTTCAAATCGAAGACCCAGAAAATACTTCACGTGCCGAACCAGGACACGGATAATCCTGAGGAGAAAAGGCTTTGTTACAGTCCTGTTTGCAGTGATATTATTAACCAGAACCCAACATTGAAAGGTTGGAGGTAACAGTGGAATGCATAAAGCCTGTTAAAAAGGGTATTACAGTAGTGTCTGCCTGTGACACTGGGAAGAATAAATAAACCAAAGTTATGATACATATTTTAAAGCAATGTTACAGCCAGCGTGGGGCTTACACTAAATCAGTATTGTTTTAGGACAGCTGCCGGCATCCCAGTAGCAGATATGTGATGTTTAAAGTGACACATAACACACACACTGGAAAAATGAGGCATAGTAATGTTGCTATTCAGAACAGCGGAGGGCTAGTCTTGCACATTTACAAGACGATTCAGACACAAGCCTAAGTGCTTAAGAGTGTTCCCTTATTAGACAGGAAGAAAGGTAGTGCAGGTGAGGGAGGAAAGGAAAAAACAGCCCAACAAGGAGGACAGAAGACGGGGAAGGAGCGCCACAGCAGCTCAGGAGGAAGGAGACATTTATTACTACACATATCTGGACCTCCAGAGCCCTTCACATGTCACAGGCTGCCAGCAAATTAACACACACCTGACAAGGCAAACATGAATAACCTTACATAATAATTCTAAGGCTGTTTTAAGCTATTTTTCACCAACACAGCTAAATAAGGGTGTCGCAGGCAAACAACAATGCTGTTGAAAACAGTCCTTGGGAAAAGACGGATAAGAGCAACAGCTGAGTCTCGACCAATGTGTACATGAACAGAAAAACAAACAGTGAGCTAAAACAAGGATTAAAAGCTCTGTGAAGTTGCATGCTTGGGTGTGTACCAATGTGTACATGAACAGAAAAACAAGGGAGCTAAAAGAAGGATTAAAAGCTCTGAAGTCGCACGCTTGGATGTCAGCTCTGACACAGGTGATCCTTCGCATTAAACCTGATGAACAAAAACTCATACCTGTCCTGATCAGCGTTTATCTTTATAGACTTGTGAAACTCGACCTTTGTAGAGTCAAATAGCTCTGAACTCTTAAGACTTATCCAAGGTGACATCTGCTCGTACTTGGAAAGGCACAGTGCGATTCAAAACAACTGGCTCCAGGGCAAAAACCATGTCACAAACTGATAATGTAAATTCACATGCTTTTACTTCTATCAAATGAGATCCTTGCCTTCAATTACTGTGGCACTCCTTCAGGGTTCAAGACCACTTCCCATGTAAAAACCTGCACCTGACCCTGGGATATTGTCTCCTGTAACACTGACAAGCACACAGTCTCCTGTCTCATCCTCATCCAGCACTGTTTCTCACCTCAAAACACACCGAGTATGGTTGCCAATTTATCTCAACTCTGGTGTTGGTGTGTAAAACTGAAAAGAATCCTGATATTTTGTGTCCAAGCCAACTCCACACTACAATCAGTGACTTAACACTCCCTTCCTAGCCATTATCTGATCATTAGTCTATCACAGCTGTGCCCCACACAGCACATTGAGCTGATGCTCTTATATCGGGAGACAGATCTATAAAATTAAAAACCTAACTTAGAGCAAGGGGGAGGAACACCAGTCAGAACTGCATAAATGAAAAGTGCACTGCAAATCTGTGGAAAGCCTTTGATTTATGTTTTCAATCTGCATCTTATTAGCATCCAAATTTCCTAAAGCAGTAGCTTTTGGGTCAGATATGTGATATGTGTAATGGCCACAGCTTAATGATCGTACAGCCACAAGGAACAGCCCAAATTTGCAAACCATGAAAAACTGAGCCACAAATTCTGGGTAACAAACTAGCTGTTTTTCCTGCACAGTACACCAGAGCTGGCTTCTGTTAGCTCACCGACCTGAATGACCTTCCCTCTCAGGGAGAACAGCAAAGTCACTCTTCTGTCTATAGCTCATGACCCTTCCTCATCATGGAATCATAGCCCCTCATAAACATCTTCCTCCTTTCACTGGCCCAAGTTGTCATCATTTTAAAAATGTCTAAAATCAATCTCTTTGTAATTTAGGGTTGTTTTATACTCACTACACTAAAGGTGGGATTATAAGACTAGTATGCTAATGACTTGATTGGCATATAACAATGGTACATTTTATGGAATTATATGGAAAATAAGATAAAATCATCCTTTATTGCCATTGTAACACGTACAATGAAATTTACATCAGACCTGTGACCTCCAGTCGGTACAGCAATAGAAAAACATAACTAAATAAACTAAACTCTTAAACTACTAGTAGGAACTAATGGACCTAAGAACGATAACATTAAGATGCACACACCACAACTGTCCATCTTACTAGTGTAGTGGGGGCGACTGCGGGTCAGTGGGTAGAGCGGTCGTCTCCTAACCGGTTAGAGGTTCAAATTACAGGGCCTGCAGTCCACATGTTGAAGTGCCCTTGGACAAGACACTGAACCCCCAAGTTGCCCCCGATGGTTAGAACCATCGGTGTGAGTTGGCACCGCAGATGGCTGCCTCGGTTCTGTACCGGAAACAAATTCCTTGTGTAACATACTTGGCCAAATAAAGGTGATTATTATTACTATGCAAGTATGGCAGGTGAAAGATGAATTAGGGTGTAGGGTTACAGATTTTTCATACACTAATATTTCCATACAAGTTTACAAAAGATACTTAAAAAAAAAAATTCCCTTCAAATAAGTTATTTAGATGATTGACTGTTCTTGAGGGGTCCAAGCCCAGACTTAAATTCCATAGAACACCTGCAGAGAGACCTGAGGATGGCCGTTAGAGGCTTCCACCCCATCTGACAGTTTGAGAAGATCTGACAGGAAGAAAGAGTAAAAATGCACAAACCCGGCTGTGCACAACTTGTACAGACTTATCCAGGAACACCAGAAGCTGTGCTGCCAAAGGGGGATCTACAAAGTATTGAAATAAGGGATTGAAAAACTTTGTAAATGAGAGATTTAGGTTTTTGATTTCTAAAAAAGTTTTTAGTTACCAAGTACAGAATGATAATGGCAAAAAAAGGAATGTTTATCTGTTTAAAATTTTTATCTACAGCACAATCAAGTGTGAAAAAAGTGAAGGGGTCTGAATATGTTCTTAAGTCGCTGTATTTATTGGATTGGTACACTAAAATAACTAACAAACCAGAACGCAGGCTTTGGGTTATCTTTCCACAGACAGTACAGTGATAACACACTCATTCTAGTGCAAAAGCCACTGGTTATGCAATGACTCAGCCAGTGTTGCAGCAATCGTAAGATTGTTCAAGGGGAATTAAAAGTCATCGGTTGGATTCTTTTTATGAACAAGCCACTAACTTTTCCTCTAGGTCAGTT